GCAAAATGCTGTGGACGTTTTATACTTAGATTTCAGTAAGGCATTTGATAAAGTAGACCACAACATACTCCTTGGTAAGCTAGACAAAGGTGGAATAGACAACATCACCACCAGATAGATCTGTAACTGGTTGACAAACCGTACTCAACGAGTATCCCTCAATGGCACTTACTTACTTAGTAGGGAGTGATGGGAAGGAAGAAAAACTCAGAAATAAAGTAGGAGATATAGGAAGCATAGCCAGGGTCAGCCACACAGGACTGAGATGCCCATACGCAAACACTCAAAGTTTGGGATCACTACATCTCTACAGAAATGCACAAAACCAAGAATGAAAGCCTCGTAGAATGCATATGGTCAATATAAAAGGAAAAAAGAATGACATTGCTATAGGCATATACTGCAAGTCACACAACCAAGCAGAAGAAATAGATGAACTTTTTGCTAAATCTATGTAGGAAACAGTAGTAATGGGAGACTTTAACTATCCTGATATCGAATGGGAAACAAATTCTGCAGCAAGTGGGAGATCGAACAGATTCCTGACCAACCTAGCTGACAACTCTGTCATCCAAAAGGTAGAGAAGGGAACCAGAGGAAAAGCTGTATTGGACCTAATTCTTACTAATAGAGAAAAAGTGACAGAGGGGGTTGAAGTTGCCGGAACTTTGGGCGAGAGTGACCATATTGGAAGACCTCCCAGTTCCCTTTCAAGTCTGTTATTCTGTTATTTCGGTGTTCTGGGTACCAAGGGTGGCATCACATCTCTTGGCCCCCGCCAGGTGACTTGGTTAAGTGATGAGGCTCATAGTGGCCAACCTGGTCAGGTCTCACCAGATGGACAGAGACAGCAAGGAACAGGCGGTCCGACCAAACCAATCCAGGCTCTGAACCATGAAAATTGCTAAATTGCCACACACTTGCATGAAAAGCATGACCACTCTGAGATTTTGTTTTTTTCTAAAGTTTTCTTGAGAATTGGATCTAAAACTAAATTAAAATTCCAAACTGCAATAATTTGGCCCACCTGTAAAATCAGAAAGATTTGTAAAATACTTACATAAAAGGTCAGGCTAGTTTGACCATATAAAACTTGATTTGGGCCATCCAACTCTCTCCATTATCAATCACCCAAAACATCCATCTTTGCTTGCTCAGCTGTAAAACTGGAGGAGTTCTTAATTCACATTGTCATTCCTCTGGCAATTTTTTAATTTCTAATTGTATAAATCTATTCCCCACTTCCCCCATCCTCGACAGCCAAAATATGTTTCTCATCAGAGCAAATGTGAGGATGAATTTCAGATAGCAATTGCAACCCCAGAATAATCCCCTAGAATTACACAAGGTTAGCTTCTTGAAAGGGGGGGATTCCTCCCCATTGTTGTTGGCAGAGGGTTGCCATCCTTTTCCTTGAATTTATTCTTTTATACTGAGACATCCAGAAATGTTGGCTTTTTGTTTTGTTCTGTTTTGTTTTCATCTGGCATGACTGTGATTGTATCAAGTCATTACTTATTTTAATCGCATTTTATAGTTTGTGGCTTTTATATTTCATTTCCAGATCAAATTTTTTTTTCTCAAACTGTTTTGCAAAAGAAATTTCAATGTTCTGCAACTTTGCATTTTAACTTGCCCCATTATCACTTTCTCTTTTTTCTTTTAAATAATTCTAAATGTAAAATTAAATATTAATTTATAATATTTATATTGGTTATATCAATTATATATTTTTCTTTTACCAAAAATTGGATTTGTACTGTGAATGTTAAAGATTTAAGCAGTATATCTAAGAAGAAAAAAATAAAATGAAATATCTAAAAAAACAAAAAATATAAAATTAAAGTATAAATTGAAGTTGTTGAAGCTTGCAGTTGCTTTTTGCAAGAAATTTCCAACAGTGTAATGCATGCTTGGCAAATTTATTCATTGTTTCTACAAATGCTGGAAGAGCCCCTTCTACACTGAGGACAGATTTACTTAGAACTGGCCTCAGAAGAGGGATATGTATATATTATAAAAGGAAACAACTTAGAATCACAGAGAGAAAAAGGAGATTGGAGATACTGCCACTTGCTCAGCAAGATGTAGGGTGAAGGACAAGAGAAATAGCAAGGAAAAAGTGACCCAAGGTCAGTAAAAAATGTATGCTAATTAAAATGACCGGCCATGGGGATAATATTCCCAGGTTTCAGAAGGGAAAGGAAAATATAGGAATAGTTTACCTGTTCTGAAGAAAGAAGAAGGAAGGAAGGAAGGAAGGAAGGAAGGAAGGAAGGAAGGAAGGAAGGAAGGAAGGAAGGAAGGAAGGAAGGAAGGAAGGAAGGAAGGAAGGAAGGAAGGAAGGAAAAGTAAGAAAGAAAGAAAGATTTAAATTTCTGATGGGTTAGAAAAATGTTATGCACAGAGGTATATTGTCACCCCCTCAGTTTTGGAGGCATGGCAAAGAGGCCATGATGTTACACTGAGTTGGATCTACAACCATCCTTGCAACTACTCATCAAATCAATCCAGCCCTTCCTTTTTATTCTCGTATAGTCATACTTTGATACTCAACTGCTTTAAAAATTTGTCGAGTTTGGTACTTGACGCATTTTGATGTGGAAATGTTGTCCTGGTCCTGGTTGTTTCTTGGGTGCTCCTGGTGCAAGCTAGGACTTGTTGGTGTCAGTTACCTGCTGACTCGCTACCCTTCCCTGCTGAAACAAAGGGTCACACCTTGAGTCAGGCAGTAGCTCTAGCCCTGTGCACATCACCTTGCAGTCTTGCCTTAGGTTCTGTGGTCATTTTGTGTATTTTTGCAGTTCTGTGAAAAAGTTGAAAAGCTGTTACTAATTTGAGTACCAGGTGAGCGTATCAGAAGCCACGATATGTGAAAAAACAAAGCCTCTCTTTGGAAAAACAAACTGGCACCAAGTGATGAGATTGCTAAAGTTTTTAAGGCCAACCACAGCTGGTTTCATAATTAAAAAAAAACTCATTTCAGGTAAAGTGAAGTTTTTTTTAGAAAGTATTAATTTTTAGTTTTATTTCTCATGTAATGATGTACAACCTTATCCTTTTACATACATGCATTGTCTTTGGTTTGGGAAAGCATTAAATTTATTTATGTCTTGTGGGAAAAGTTTGTTGGGTTCTTGTTTTTGGCACTGTGTTGCGTGTCTCCTGGAACCCATTAACGATGAATTCTGAGATACCACCGCACTTCCACTTGGCTTCTCATATGGGCAGAGTTATTTGCAGGACCAGCTCGGTCCACACAGACTGCTCTGCTTTTCAGCTCATCTGTGTGTCACCTTCAGCACAACAATTAATGCTCCTTTTTTCTATGGGCGCATCTATAATAAGGGATAAACAACCACTAGAATTTATAGTATAGTTATTTGAGGGTAAAATGAAAAAAATGCATGCCTTTTAGGTGCTCAATTGATCAATATTTATATATATATGTCACATATTCCTAAAGAGTCCGACAATCACCAATATTGTAAAAAGAACCTTTCTTCAAACTCCCAGCATCGTTAAGGAAAAAGATGCAGACACTTGGGCGATTTGCCCCTCAATGGATGCCAACCGTCATCGCCATCTGTGCCACCTTCTGGGTGTGTTTGCAGCCCAGATTTGACAGCTTTAAACAACAATGGCTGATGCCCAAAGGCACAAAACGGGTGACCTGAAAGGCTGAGCTAGCATTCCGTGCACAGGCTGACCCAGGTTTTGGGTCTCGCCCGTTTGGGGCCCGGGCGGGCAAGTCGGGACGTCGTTCCCCAGCTGCTCGGGGCGAGGGTTGGGGGGAGCAGCCAGGCGGGGGTGAAGGGCGGAGTCCGACCCGGCTCCTCGGGAGCGCCCGGAGGGGGCGGCCAGCGGCAAGGAAGGAAGGGCACCCGGGGGGGGGCGAAGGGGGCCAGAGAGACTTCCTCGGCCAAGGCGGGGGCCTCTGGGCGGCTGTGGGGACCGCGGAAAGGGGCGCCTCAGCTTCGGCGAGGGGGTGACCCCCACGGCACGCGGGCCTCCTTCTTGCCTGCTTGGCGGGAGGGGAACGCGAAGGTTTATTCCCAGGTCGGAACAAACGCGGCCCGCAGCCCAGAAACAGGCTCCGCGTTCTTCCCCTCTGCGCCGGGGACGGGGCTCGGCTGCCCTAACGCCTTTTGCGCGCCTAAGGCCCCCGCCCCGACGTCACCAGCGGCGCAGCCCCGCCTGAGGCCACCTTCGGCCTGCGCTTAGCCACCATCGAGGGACCGAGCCACGCTCAGCCGGCGTCTGCCCAACGCGCGGACCTTCGCACGAGGCTCCGCGCGCGGAGCAGCCGGACAGCCGCGCACCGCTGCGACCCCCCGACGGGCCCCCGGGCGGGGGCGGGGCGCGGGAGCCGCCCGAGCCTTGAGCGACAGCGCCGCCTAGTGCCCGAGCGGGCAACGGCACCCCGCCGGCGCTGCGTTGCCGGAGGGTCTCCGCCGCCCAACCCTGCGCCGTCCGGGCGGCTGCTGCCGGAGCTGCGGGCTCCCGGGGCCGCCACAGCCCGGACGCGCCTCTTCCCGCCGAAAAGAGCCGCCGGAGCCTCGCCGCGCCCTCGCTCCGACCCACCGCCCCGGCGTGGCTGATGGGGAGCTCAGTCCGCGGCGCCCGAGCCGGCTGCTGGGCAAGGGAGAAGCGCTTCGCCGCGCCCACGGACGGGGCCGCAGCGGCTCTCCGATGCCCCCCTCCAGCCACAGGGCGGTCTCGGGCAGAGGCCGGCCGGGCCCGCCCGACGGCGACCGTCCGCGCTCTTGCCCCCGAGCCCACCCCGAGCCCGGGAGCCGCGCCGCTCTGCTCTGCCCGCGCCGGGCAGCCGGGGCCGGGCGCGCCCTCCGCTCCCCCCCCCCCGGAGCCGCGGGGCCGGCCAAGGGCGGCGGTGGCGAGGTGGGGCTTGCTCGCAGTCGGCGCGCGGGGGGCGGGGGGCGGGCGCCCCGCGGATATAAGGGCCCCGCCGGCTGGGTGCGCCGGCCAGAGCGAGCGCCATGCCGGCCGCAGCCCGGGCGCCCCGTCGGCGGCCAGCCCGAGGAGAGCCGGCGCGGGCCGCCTGAGCGCCGCCTGCCGCCCCCGGCCGGCCGGGCCATGGCCGAGGTGGGGGGCTTCCTGGGCTCCCTGGACCTGCACGGCTTCTCGTCGTCGCTGGGCACCGCGCCGCTGGCCGACTCGCCGGGCTTCCTGACCGAGCGGCTGGGGCAGATCGAGGGACGGCTGCAGCGGGGCTCGCCCACCGACTTCGCCCACCTGAAGGGCATCCTGCGCCGGCGGCAGCTCTACTGTCGGATGGGCTTCCACCTGGAGCTCTTCCCCAACGGCACCGTGCGCGGCACCCGGCAGGACCACAGCCGCTTCGGTGAGCCCGGGGCCCGTCGGCGGGGGGGGGGACTCTGGGCCGGGAGTGGCCGGGGGAAGGAGCGGCGCCCGCGGTCTCTGCGCAGCCGCTGCGCTCCTTCGCCCGGCGTGGTCCCTTTTCCCGCCGCCTCCCGGACTGACCCCGCGTCCTCCTGGGAACCGCCGCCCCCCGGCAGGTGTCCCGGCTCCGCGTCCCCGGCCGCGCGCCCCGAGGGCCGAAAGGCGCCGCGACGGTCGGCCTCCTTCCCGGCGTTTGCGAGGCTTCGGCGGCTCCAGGCGATTTGCCGGCGCGGACCGGTTGGCCTCCCTTCCGCAAAGCCGGGAAGGAGCCGCTGCCCAGAACGGGAGGCCCGAGTGCCGGAGAAGCAGCAGGTGCTTCGGGGACGGACGGACGGGGCGGACGCCGAGCGTGGGCGCAGCGCAGCGCTTCTCTCGCCCGGGGCGTTTCGGAGTTCGCAGGCCCCGGGGAGGGGGCAAGGCGTAGCTCGGGGTCCCTTGGCCTCCGCGGGCGAGTCAGTTGCAGTGCTGGAAGCGCTGCGGGGCGGGGGGGTGCAGGTGTCCCGTTTCTGCCGCTGTCCGATGCCGTAGAGAGCCTGGGAACGGAGGTCCAGGCGGCTCTCGGCCCCTGTTCTGACCGGGCGCTCGGACTCCTCTCCCCGCCTCACGGTTTCTGGTTTGTTCTGCCTTCCTGCCTTGCAAGACGCCCCGTTTTATAACAGCTCCACGATTGTTTGCAACAAAGGGGACCCACGTACAGCTCAGTCTTGAGTTGACTGACTCAAAAGTAAGTTATGGAACAGAGTTTACCTCCTTATTAAGACTAGGTCGGCCTTGTTTGGGTTGTTTGAATTCTCTTTGAATGTTTTCAGCCCCTTCTTTTCTCCCGAATCAGTTTCTGAGCAGGAAACACGCACACACAAACACAGAGAGGGGGAGAGGGAGAGAGAGAGAGAGAGAGAGAGAGAGAGAGGTTTTAAACAAGCTTTTAGGGATGAAGAAAATGTTCCTGTCTGCAACCTGAAGCAAATTTAGCTAGAAAAGCAGGGGAGGGGGAATGGCTTTACCTCCCAGAACACGGAGTTACTACCTGGCAAGGCTACCAGCTCCTCTCCACTTTCCCTTCCCTTTTGTTAAAGGCAGCAGCCATGCCTTGGCAGGCCGGCCTCATCTGTTTTCCCACAGCCCTGAGTAGTTCAAAGGAAGTAGTATGAATTGCTGAAAGTCTCCAGGTGTTTGTTCTGGATTTCTTGTAAGCCAAGTGGGGAGAGACAAACCACAAGGCAGGACTTCAATAGATCTTAATTATATCTAAGATTAAGCGTGATTTCAGATAAAACAATGTTGTTGATAAAGTGTAAAGAACAGAGCCACAACTTTTAGGGGTCAGTGGGTGTGATTGGAACTTGGAGAGAATGTTATGAACACACTTACAAAATGGCAGCCTTGGTCAAAGTGCCAGTCAAAAGGGCACTTTTGCCAGAAGACAAGGGGAAGATTGGGCAGTCTCTCATTTTATTTTCCAAGAAAACTTTTCAAGGATCCCTGTTGGGAATCAAATGAATTATTAGAAATACAGTAATGCCTGAACCAGATGTTTTACACCTGGCTAACTTCCCCTTGACCCCAACCTGAAGGAGTTTCATATTTTGATGTAATGGTAGACAAAACAATTCAAAGAAGATTGGCTAAATCCTTGCCATCTGTCTTGCCTTGCCTGGATCCAGCCATCTGTTAAAAGAAGGAACTAGGTCAGGTGTTAGCATAGACAACGTGCCGCCTGTTTCTCCACGAGGGATCTGGGAAGGGACCCTTCAGCCAGAAAAGCAGGCTCAGAGACGCCAAGCCTGGTCTTTAGGCTTACTTGCTGCAGAGTTCTGGATTTGGATTCTTTGTGGAGAGGAACAGATGCTGCTTATAACTAAGTGGAAGAAGGAAGCAACCTGCAGGGAGTTGCCAATCAGGCTAGCAGGATAGAGTTGGATAGGCTGAGTCTGCACAGGTAGCTCTGCGGCCAGCTGCCCTTGACTGAAGGACCAAGCGGCACCATGTTGGACCAGGACTGGGAACTGCCTCCTGCCGTCTGGGCTTTCTGTGCAGAAGGAGAAGGCCTGCCAAGCCACAGCTGTGCCAGAGACGGCCTAGATAGAAGCTGCCCCATAGACCAGCATTTCTCAGCCTCAGCAGCTTCACTACTGGTGGATTTCAGCTCCCAGTATTTCCCAGCCAGAATGGAATTCTAGGAGCTGAAGGCTGCAATTCTTAAAGCACCCTGGCTGGAGAATTCTAGAATCTCAAGTCCAGAAATTTTGAGTTGAGGTTGAGTTAAAATTGCTGAGGTTGAGAAATTTTGCTGCAGACATTGGCTCTATATAACCATATACCATAAATGCCGGCGTATAAGACGACTTCCGCGAGCGCTGAAATCGGCGCCAAAGATGGGGGTCGTCTTATACGCCGAGTCGTCTTATACGCCGGAAATACTGGTAGTTTCCGGCATATAAGACGACGTTCTAGGAATGCGGCCCGGCTATAAAGATGGGGGTCGTCTTATTTATTTATTTATGAGACTTATATACCGCTTTAAGTGCAAGCACTCTCTAAGCGGTGTACACCAGTAAGCAATGTATGTATATATTTTACATTGCCCCCAACAATCTGGGTCCTCATTTTACCTACCCCGGAAGGATGGAAGGCTGAGTCAACCTTGAGCCGGTGAGATTTGAACCGCTGACCTGTTGAACACAGTCAGCTAAAGTGGCCTGCAGTACTGCACTCTAACTGCTGCGCCACCTCGGCTCATCTTATACGCCGGGTCGGTATATAGCTTTGATGTGTCTTTCAAGAGATCATTTATCACAGAGGATTGGTACATGGACTCACCCATTCACCTAGATGCATCATTGTTCCAACCAAGGGCTTATGTAGACTGGAAGGGTTGGACCTCAACCCCACCAATGCAGAAATCCATCAGCTGTCCCTCCCCAAGTCCTCCAATAAAGCAGAGTCTACCATTGTCTGAGGCAGTCTGTTCCATGGTTGAATAGCTTTAGTTTAGGAAAAGCTCATGTGGAACATTTGGATGAAACCAGCCCCCTTGTTTCTGGTCCTGTCTCCTGGAACAGCTCTGAACAATCCTGCCCTTTGTCTCCATCTCAGCCTTTCAGATCCTTGGCCATCCTGTCTCCCCAGCATCTACTCTTCTTCAAGCTGAGCCAACCTCTCTAACTGTTCCTCTTCAGTTTTCCATCCAGGCCCCATTTCGTCTTGGTTACTCTCCTCTGACATGCTCCAATGCGCTAACATATTTCCTTACAATATCCAGAAGTGCACACAGTGTTCTGGATGTGATCTGACTAATACTAACTTCCTCTCTTTTGGAGGGAAGATGGTGGCCAAGCTGTCTTATGGAGATTTTTTGCCATGATTTTATTTATTTATATCTCATCTTTATTATTTTTATAAATAACTCAAGGTGGTGAATATATCCAACACATCTTCCACCTCCTATTTCCCCCACAACAACCCTGTGAGGTGAGTTGGGCAAAGAGAGTGACCAGCCGAAGGTCACCTGGTCAGCTTTCATGGCCGAGGCTTGATGGCTTCTTGCTTTCTAGCCTTGTGCTTTAACCACTAGACCTGACTTTGATTTTCTCTGATTGATTTTCTTGAGAGGCATCTGGATATAGGTAGAAAACCACATCCTTAGGGGTTGAGGGGGAAAAGGAGTCTTGCAGAACGCTTTCTCAAGGGCAAGATCCAAATGGTGGAAAGGTCTACCAACCAAGCCCAATTCTTAATCTGTTCTCCCAGCAGCTGGAAACTCAAAGGAGTGGTGTTCAGGGAATATAGTCTTTCTGTACAACCCCCAACTATGTAGATGGCAGCGATGCCAACCCTGAACTGATTTAACACCAGTTGCAACTGTTGAAGATATTTCTCATGTTCAGGCACCATCATGCTGAGAGCTTTATTGCACTAAGATGAGTGTCTCTCTGATCTGGTCAGCAAGATAATATTATGTAGATGATTGCCATCCAGGTGTAAACTTGCTTTTTAAAATAGAACAGCCCCAGAACAGCTTGGGGAAAAATCTATTAATCATTATATCTAGCAATGGTCTTCAAAGTTGAGCTATCCAAGCAACCCTTCTCAGTATGAAGAGCTAGGGAGGAACCCATTAACGTATCTTCTCATGCAATGCAAAAGAACGTTACAGTTATGTTGCAGTAATGCATTTCGTACCCTTTGAAACAACTGTCGTGTTGAACCCCTGAATGATTCTCAAGGAACCCTTCACTTCCCAAGAACACCATTTGAACACTGTCAGTCTAGAGGAGGCCTTTGGGGGATGGCGCTGCTGCTGTGGAGTCCTTCGGCTGCAGCTGCCCAGCTGATCTCCCATTGCCTGTAGTGCCATTGGGACTCGGCATAGGTGGGGGCATTTCCTTGGGAGGCAGATAGGGCAGCGACCCTGAAAATTAGCAAGTGGGGAATACAAGGAACTGCCTAATAATCCTAAACAGTAACGGGTAGTCCTCAAGTTATGGCTGTAATGGAACCTGCCCATCATGGTCATAATTCATGAAGTTAAAAAATCAGGTGACTGACCCAATTTTATGGCCTTTTTGTGGTGCTTGTTAAACGAACACAGTGGTCATAAAGTAACTGAAACAGTTGTTAGGTAAACATCACATTAAATGCACCAGTGGTTTGCTCTGAGCTGGAAGTAAACAATGGTTTGGGGCAAAACTGTCATAAAACATGGTTCCATAATTGTGGGACGCTACAAATGGCTATAAATGCAGCCCAGTTGTCAAAGGCAACTGACTGGGTGTGTGTGTGACCATTGGAACTTCCAATCCAAGTCCTAAGTATCTCCAGGGAGGTTGTTTATAACTTTGAACACAGCTAAACGCCCTGTCATAAGTCGGGGACTATCTGTATTTTCGCCTCTGTCACTGCCTTGTCAGATCAGGGATGGTCAAAGCTCTCCAGGGATGC